TTTTTACTATATAAATTAAATAAATTTTATATATTAAATAAAAATTTTATTTAAATAATAATTAAATAAAAGCATTATTTAACAATATAACATTTTAAGGGTAAGTTTGAAATTGTGATGGAGAGTTTTTAATCTTAAAATATCTTTAAATATATGTGTTTGGTAAATTTTTTTAAATTATTTCTTTATAAATTACAAAAAATTACAGTAAAATTGCAATAAATTTATATATAAAATCATAATCTTTATTTTGAAACTTTTGATTTGTGGTTTTTTTTTTAAATCTAATATTTAATATAATTATAAAATTATTTATTAAAATTTAACTTTATGTAATTTAATTATATCATAATTTATAATATTTTAATAATTATAATAAATTTAAAAATTAAATTATTAAAAAATAATAAATATGATCTATTTTAATAAGTATATATTTTATAATATTTTTAAACTTTTAATTAATAATTAAAATTTTTTATTTTTAATATTTAAAAAAATAAATAATTAAATATTAAAATAACTTTTAATTATAACCATAATATAATATAATACAATTATAATTACAATCACGATCGTTTTACAGTAATTTTACACGTGCTATGAATTCGATTTCAGAAGGTCAGAAGGTCAGAATGCGAAAAGTCCAAGAGATTCCTAAATGGCAGTATTTCGGCACAAATTGACGGAACCAAAGTCGGGTACAGTGCTGCTGCTGAAACAACGAATAAATGGCATTGTTTGGTTGCCTACTTCCTCGGAGAAAGAGCTCGGAAAATAACTGATCATAAAATTATTGGCTTAATTTAATTTTTAGTCTATTAACTATCACCTTGATTTCATTTTAGTCTAGAAATTATGTTTTATTTTTAAGTAGTCTATTAACTTTCAAATTCATTTTAATTTCGTATACTTGTTCAAAGATAACGGTAAACTTCCTATTCTGTTAGAGAACAGTTAGTCCTTTGATAATATTTTTTTGATCTTTTAGTCCTTAAATTTATATTTGTTATAAAAATAACTTTTTTACTTAAAATTATTATTTATAGGCTCTGATACTAGATTTTTATACAGGTTTTCTTATTTCTTTAACTTGGTATCAGAGCCTGAAAGTTAATATACCACTCAAAAACAATAATTTTAAATTTGAGATGACACAATTTGAAGTAATGTTTTTAAACTCAAACCAAAGATTAAATCATTTTGGTTTTTGGTTCATGGTTTAATCAATTTAATCGATAGTTGATAATTGAGTGCAATGATAAGTGACTGATTTGATATTTGAAAGATCACAAGTTTGAGCCTTCGTGAGAATAAATTTTAATATAATTGTGATTTTAAAAATAGAATAAATATAATGTAAAGCAAAAAATAACAAATAAAAAGTTGTGTTTCAAGTGCTAGAGTCTTTGTTTCATATCATGGAAAATGGGTGTTCGAATTCCATGACTGTCATTAATAATTTAGTTAAAAACTTGAGAAGTCTATTAAATAAATAAAATTTCAAGCACTCAATAACAAGATTGTATCATTCAAGTGGTAAAGAGTCAGAATTAAGGCTTTGGGGTTGAGTTCAAGCAAGTCTTGCGAGAGACAAATTTTTGAAGATTTTATACCCAAGTATTGAATCATCCAGTCGAATGGTTTATCGGTTTGAACGGTTTTAATGATTTTTATTGATTTTAAATGGTTTATAATTTAAACAGTTTAAAAAATATAACCAAACCATATATATCATTGGATACTAGTTCAATCGGTCTGATCGACCAATCCGGTCCTATTTTCAAAACATTTTGGAGTGATCGCATCTGTTAAACTTTGGAAGTTTATTTAAATCGGATGGTAAATATGGCGATTTATTTCAACATAATGGGTTAAAAAATTACAAAATAAAACAGAGGGGTCATTTCAAGAAACTCAGACAGTATGAGGGATAATTGCCTTTTTGCCGTATAAATTACGTTAATTTATTTTTAATTTTTATTTAATTTGTGATATATATTAATAAAAGTTATTATATAAAATTTTTTGTCTAAATTATACTTTTAGAATCAATTTTAA